AGCAACATCGTTTAATGATCGTTCGAAATATGCTCACAAATCTTGGACGGAATAAAACAAGATGTTTCGCCTCGATATGTATATTTAACTGAAGTATGATTGACATGTTTTTCTTTTCTATTGTGCATTTATAATTAGTAGTCTAATGTTTCTACATGCGCATTTGTGATAATAGGTTCTATGTATTCATACACAATGTCTATGACATAGACATTGATTCTATTACGACATAGACCTATGTCGTAATAGAATAAATAGATTGAACAAAAACGTGCACGTGTATGCATTAAGTATTATAGAAAGCTGTCAATTTGCTTATGTGTTTTCTACTACAAAGGTTTATAACCTGGATAAATAAATAAATTTTTACCAATTTAAAAAAATGTCGAAGAAGAGAAAGTACAGTGAAAATTATGTAGCTTTTGGTTTTACCTTTATTACTGATAGTGATGGCAGCGAAAGGCCGCAATGTTCTATGGTAAAGTCCTGCCAATGCAAGTTTGAAGCCAGCGAAACTGAAAGAGCACCTCATATCTATTCATCCTAAAAACGCACTGGATAGTGTTGATTCTTTTCGTTCTAAGAAGGCTCGATTTGAGAAATCAGGACTTTGCCGAAGTTCGATTCATCAAGACGCAGAAGCCTTGCCTTGAAGCATCTTATAAGGTCGCTTACCGCATTGTTGGCAAAGAAAGCTCACACTATCGGAGAGACATTGATAAAACCGTGTGCTCTGGAAATGACTGAGCTGGTATGTGTCACAGAACAAAGAAAGAAACTTGAAGCCGTTTCCTTGTCAAACGATACCATCAGCTCCAGAATTATTGACATTTCTAATAATATTCTGAAACAAGTAATGGAGGAACTTAAAGCATCACCATTTCCATTTAGCATGCAACTGGATGAAAGCACAGATGTTCTCAGTGTGCCCAGCTTGTATATGTTCGTTATATGCACGCTGATGCAATTAAAGAAGAATTCTATTTTGCGAGCCTCTCTCAGAAACCAAAGGCTGCAGACGTATTAGATGGTGAACAATTTCGCCAAACAAGACTTCAAATGGAAGAGAAATATTGGTAGTTTGTGTACTGACGGAGCGCCCGCAATGTTTGAAAACCTCAGGGTTTGCTTCTGTTGGTAAAGAAAGAAGCTCCTCACATCATTGTGACTCATTGCTTTCTTACATCGACATGCATTGGCATCAAAAACTCTATCACCAGCTTTAAAATAAATTTTGTTTGTTTCTGTAAAGATCAACTTTGTCAGAGCTCGAGCTTTAAACAATCGTATATTCAAAGACTTTGCCAAGAAATGGGTGCACAACATGAAGTACTTGTACCACACTGAAGTTCGCTGGCTTTCGAGAGGTCAAGTTTTGAAGCGTTTGATGGAACTGAGAAAGGAAGTTTCATTCTTCTTACGAGAAAAACAAAATCCTCTATCAGTGCAATTTGACAGAAAGGAGTCTTTATGGCTTAGCTTACTTGGCAATATTTTCGGTCATTTGAATGAAGTAAATCTGTCATTTCAAGGACCAGATGTAACGATTATGGACGTTACAGAAAGACTGCAGGTTTTACAAGCAAAGCTTCCTTTGTGGAAAGAAGACTTGAGACAGACAACTTTGCCAACTTCCCAATGCTGGAGGAAGTGATCTCTCAAACTCGAATCGATAATACTGAAGCCCTGCTTTCTCTCTACGTGGAAATGCATGCGAAAATTCAGATGAGCAATCTTTGAAAGTTATTGCTCACATGATCCGAATTTGAATTGTGGATTCGCAACCCATTTCTTGCAGATCTAAATTCTATTGGTGATGATGTTCTTGCCAAAGATGACCTCATTGAGTTGAGGACAATGCAAATGCGACCAATCGAATCACCTTGCAGAATTCTGTGTTCCTTGGCACAAGCGTATCCTCGCCTGGTGAAGAGCCATGGTTGCTCTTATTCCTTTGCTACTACCTACCTCTGTGAGGCAGGGTTTTCTGCTCTTCTTGCTATCAAAACGAAACAGCGAAATCGGTTGGATGCTAAGGATAACATGCGTGTGGCCCTGGCAAAAACCGTCCCACAATTTCGTGTTCTTGTTGAAGATAAGCAGGAGCAACCTTCGCATTGATTTAAAAAGTTATTTGCGTTCTACTTATTGGTTACTGTACTGTATTTTGATTCTTTATGGTTTTGTAATTGTTGTATAACTTAATTGACTCGGTAATTGATTTATTATTCATTATTATTCGTTGAATTATTAATTTGCTTCTGTTTGGTCTGCAAATTTCTGGACTATATTACTAAATTAATTAAAAGCTAATTTTGACAATTGCGATGTGTTTCTTCTAAAGGGGTCCAAAGCTTTCATTAGAATGTTTTGGGGGTCCGTGACCAACAAAAGGTTAAGAACCCCTGAGCTAGATATTCACACCAAAAATCATTGTCAGGATCTTTGACAGCATCAAATGTTAATGCGGTATGTGAATGATTAGAATGTGATTGTTTCGCCTCGTTATAAGCTGCGATATCTTTATTGACATCCTTTGTTACTCGAGTAATTTGCTTCGAAAGTCTGGATGCCAACGCTTGACCATCTGAAAAACAGAACAAACATACAGAGAACATTACAAAGAAGGCAACATGTAAAGTAATTTACAAACATTGCAAGTTGTATGGAACATTTATGAGATACGTATAGTTACCACATTATTTAGACTTAAGATTTAGGAGAAACCATCTTTCAGCAACATTTTTCCTCATTCGAGACAAAACACGTTTTTCTTTCCTAGACGCAACCTCGCGTTTTGCATTTTCGTACTCTGAGTCTGTATTTTGCCAGCTTGCAGAAATTGAGTTTTCCCTTTCCATGATCTTCAACTGCTCATCAATTCTAAACAGTAAATACCAAATCATTACAAATATAAAGCACGGTCAGACAAGCACCTGCAAGTTGCATATACATCTCTACTTGTACGTACGTATAAAAACAAGAAATAATTTTTTATTCGATATTCCAACTTATTATTCACAATGTTACGACGTACATTCATAGCTTCAAAATTTTCCCAGTTCATTTTTCTAAATTCACACTGTTTAAGACTTTAATATCTCTAGAAAAAAGTTGAACTTTTCGAACATACTTTTTCACCTGATTAAATCGAACAGTCAGTTCACTTGGATCAATGCAACCATTCCATCGATGGTAAAGATCAGCGTACAAGTCCAGGTATATAACGTACTTGCATTTCCAATCTTCTTCTTCTGTAAGTTGTTGAAGATTTACGTATATTTGTTAAAAAAGTTTTCTGTGCGTAAAACATTTCCTTATAATGAGCAATAATTATGTGTCAAATCTGTTCCTTAGCTACAAGCCATTATTTCTCATTTACTAACCAGTCTCAATTTCACGACCAAAAAAAGTCGATTCGTCCTTCATCCACTCATGAATATCATCTATTGAAATCCTGTGAGCTTTAGATAACGAAAAAAGGAAAATCTACTGCTTTCATGTGAGTCGTAAATAGTTCATATCCAAAATCGGAGTCAAATATAATCACACAGCAAATACAAACATATACTCACACGGAAAGCACCTGCATAACTTTTCAATATCTGATTTTGCAGTTTCTTTCACGTCAACAGCTCGCTTCATCCTTGCCATCAGCAAATTGCCACAAAAAACAAAATTTAATTCATACCTGCTATTACATAATATGATGACATGTTGGCTATGTATATGTTCAAACAAAGAAGGAAAAACTAGCTATACCTAAATTAATCTTCGTTTTCTTTCCTTTATGTAAAAGAGCATAACTGAGTACATCAACTCTGTGACTTGGACGTATTTCTTTAGTCATTCTGCTAAATTTGCGAATGTAAGCCCACAATCTCTCCAACATCTCACCGTCAGTTAGGCCAAATCCTTCTTTACAACAGGGACTAAATTTAACCTTTTAAAAGAAAGATTTAGTAAACAATTATTGAATTTTCATCATTTATCATCTACAATACCATTAGTTATGATAGCATAAAAACCCAGGTATCAATATCTGTTTATACGTATGAAAAATAAAATCATTAACAACTAACTTGGCATCGTCCAACATGCCCATAGCAGTGAAAAATTGGAATTGAAAATTGAAAAATGTCAACAATCGGATCCTCCAAATTCTTTTTGTAACAAACAAAATAAAGAAAATCATGTGAAAGACTACCTTTTCAAAGAAAAAAAGTGTTGAGGGAAAGTTATTGACAAAGGAAACAGGTAACAAAGCAACTATTGTCAATTGAATATTACCTGTAAATGTTTCACCAACATGCATGCAACATCATACAATATGTTTATTTTGAGTGCAGGATTATCAGCATTATCTTTCCCTAATTTTTGGAGAACATAAACA